GTGTGTGTGTGTGTGTGTGTGTGTGTGTGTGTGTGTGTGTGTATCCCTGCCCCCACAGATGGGCTCCGGACTAGCAGAGCCTCCTCTTCCTCCTTTTTAACCAGGCGATCTTCGGCTGCTGCACAATCCCAAGGGCACGCGCTGCCCGGTTTGCTGAATCCGGCGTGGCTTCAGAGAAAGAAGGCGTGCGAGAAAGCCCCCCCCCCCTATCCCCGCTGCCTGAACGTTTGAATGAATGACTGTACGAAAATGAAAATAGAAAATAAAAACACATTTACAAACGTTTGAATGAAGGAGGCTGCAGGCTCCTTTGTCCTTGGCTATGCAATTTTCTTTTGTTCTCTGCTGCCCGAACGAGTGAATGAGGCAGAGGGAGAATGAAAGGAGATTGCTTCCCTTCTGTCTCCCCGTTGCTCAGAAAAGCAACTCCGGGAAGGTCCTTGGTGGCAGCAGACGTCCTAGAACCTGCCTGCTAGCAAAGGACCTTACCAGAGTTGCTTTTCTGAGCAACGGAGAGACAGAAGGGACAAAATACCATCCAGCTGGGACGGGTATACAGGGCTGGTGGCGGGGCGGGCTTACTTCCGGGTCCAGTCACAAAAATCAGGACTTTTTAAGAACGCGCCAGGACACGGGACAAATTGTGCAAAAGCATGACCATCCCGTGAAAATCGGGATGTCTGGTCACCTTAGAAATGGAGGATCATAGAATTATGCATGTTAATTGAACCCTGACTGTCTGAAATTATCATGTAACCTAATACCTTGGGGTAAAAATAAGAACTAGCTGTAGCAATTAGCAATCAGGGCAACTGCTGGGCTTTTTCGCATTAGATGGGTAAAACTGGGTATCTACCATTTTAACAGAAAGTCCAAGATTTTTAGTTGCTGATTTGCCTGAAGCAAGAAGTGGCATGCAGGCTACCTACCATGGTTGCAATGAAGCCCAAGAAGACAATTGATTCAGGAGAAAATCCACTAGATAGCACCTTGTCAATGGTTATTTCATTGTGAAAAATGTAACTTAGCCCCATTTCAAGAATAAAGCAAACTCAACAACACCATCAAAGTAACATGTCTTCCAGTATTTTATTTGCAATTTTCCTCAAAATTCATTGCTGTAGAAAAGTGCCAGATTAATAAATACTGTGAAAAATATATCAGTTAGGTTTTCCTCTATAATTTTGAATAAGAGATGTATAAGCTTTGAAATTCTAATGGTTGTTTTGCTTACATTGCGAAATATGAAACTTATTAAATAGTCCATCTTTCACAGGAAAAATATTTCTAATAAATACTTTTCTTTTCTAGCTTCTAGACGACCCTGACGTCAGAACTAAATTCAAAATTCAAGGTTTATTGTATCCTGTTCTTCAGACTATTGATCTGGAATTGCCATCCTATCAGGATAATAAAAACATGCCAATTCTGCCGAAAACATTAACAAACAGATTCCTCACTGAATATTTTCCATCAGATGACTCTTTTTCCAAAGCTTTAGACACCAATCAACATGTTCCTGCAGA